GAAAAAAAAAAAAAATTAAAATTAAAAAAAAGGGGGGAAACGCGACTTGGGTTTAAATTTTTTTAGTTAATTTGGGTGCGCGGCGCACTAAACTCTAGATTGCATAAAAGAATTTGGGAAAAAAGATGCTAAGTGGGGTCGCCCTGTGGGGGAGGTGTCCCTGCCAGGGGGCAGGAAAATGGAAAAAAAGAAGGGAAAATGAGGGGGGAAATTTGGAAAAAGAGGGGGGAGGAGGTTGGGGAAAAGAATAAAAAGGGGGAGGGCGGGGAGGGGAAAAGAAAGAAAATAAAACGAAGGGGATGAAAAAGAAAGGGCAAGGGGAAAAAGAGGGGATTTTTGGGAAAATTAAGAGGAGAGGAGGAAAAAAATTTGGTGGTAAGGGGAGAAAAAAATATTGCAAGGTACGAAAAAAAAAAAGGTTTCAAGCAGCGGAGGGCTGTTAAAAAATGAAAAAAAAAATTTAAAAAAAAGGGGAAGATACCCGGAAGGCAAAAAAAAAAAAAAAAAAAAAAAACGTAGAAAACACTTTTAAAAAAAGAAAATTGGAGAAGAAATGAGTAGAGGGAAAAGGGGTCATTTTAAAACCAAATTTGGGGAAAAACAAATTTGGGGAAGTAAGGGAGGAGAGAAAGGATGGATTGGGTAGTGATTACGAGACAGAAAAAAAATGAAAGTCCCAGATGATAAAAGCTCTTGGGGTTAAAGGGTTTACTGAAGACTTGAAAGGTTTTGGTTTAAAGATCGGGCTGAAGACTTGAATATTGGTTGAAAAAATCGTACTGAAGAAATTTAAGTTTGGTTTTAAAAATCGGGACTGAAGACTTGAATGTTTGGGTTTAAAATCGTACTAAGACTTGAATATTTGGGTTTAAAGATCTACTGAAACTTTAATGTTGGTTGAAAGATTTTGTACTGAAAAACTTGAATGTTTGGTTTTAAAGATCGTAAATGAAAAACTTGAATGTTGGTTGAAAAAGATGTACTGAAGACTTGAAATTTTTGGTTGAAAGATCGTAAATGGAAAACAGCAAAGGTTGTTGAAGGAAAGTACGGGAAAACAGGTGCTGGTTAAAATTTCCACAAAGAAGACAGGGGAAAGTTTTGGTTAAAAGGGTCGTACTGAAGAAATTAAATGTTGGGGTTTAATTTGGGCTTTTATTTATCAAAATTTTGGTATATTTGGAAAAGTACTGCTAGCGGGTTTTAAATAGTCAATTTTTAAACGGAAACAACACGGACAAGTCTGATAAACCCTATGTGTTACTTAGGTATTTTTAGAAGAAAATACCCCAAGTGTTGCACATGTGGGCCCGTTTATGTTCCCTTTTCAGATGTTTGGAGATTTTTATTGGGATAAAAATTTCTCCTGTTTTAACTTCAAAAAAAATTTTTTAGAACAAAAGTTTTCCCCGGTGAAGGCTTCTTTGGTGTGTGTTTTGTTTCTATCTTCGTATATGGCCTCTTTGCCCTTTCTTTCAATTTTTGTTTCTTCCTTTTTTAGTCTTCATTCCTTTTGTCATAGCTATTTTTTTCATTTTTCCCAAAAAAAAAACATTCTCTTCATTTTTTTCATTCCTTTTCTGTTTTTTACTTTTTCTGAATTTTTACGCCTTTTTTTTTTTTTCCCCTTCTTGATTCCCAACGTTTTTCCTTATTTTCCACTCTTTCCAAAATTTTTTTTCTCTCACTCTTTTATTAATATTTTTCCCCTTCTTCATTAAATTTCCTCCTTTCCCCTGTTATTATGCATCAGTTCTCTGCTCTGTTTTCCCTTTTCTCTGTCTCTTCAGTCTCTCTCTCTCTCTCTCTCTTCTCTCTCTCTCTCTTTTCTCTCTCTCTCCCCCTCTCTCTCTCCTCTCTCTCTCTGCCGTCCTCCCTTTCCAATAAACCCGGAAAAAAATGCCATACAAAAATAAAATTTGCTCAATCTGCCCCAAAAATTTTTTTCCAATTTCTTCCCCTTTCCCTTTCCCGTGCCCGTTTCCCTTCCCCAGTTTTCCCCCTTTTCCCCCTCCCCCTCCTTCCCTTCACAATTTTCCCCGTTAAAAACCCGATCTACGGCCTTGCTTTTTGTAACTTACCTCCCTCTCCAAGCTGGCAGGAAATTCCCCCCTCCCTTTTAAATCCCAAACGGTGTCAAGGCCCTCATCCTCGCCCCTTTTCCAGGATCCTTTTTTCCTCTTCCCTCCCTTGTTTGTCCTATTCCCCTAACTTTCCCCCTTTTCCTCCTCCCTCTGTCAAACGGATCCCCGGGAAGTTCTTCGCACCTTTCAGGGTGGCTGCCCTTAAAAAACCATAGCAGGGGTTCCCGCTGTTTTCAAGCTTCATGACAAATTCACCCAAATTGCTCCTTTGTGGGGAAATTTTGTCAGGGTTTTGAATGAAAAGACGCATTTTTTGAAGCTTAAATTTTAAAAAAAGGAACGTAAATTTTTTTGCTTTTTGAGGGGGGAAAGAAAAAAAAGTTTTCGTAAGCTTGTTTTTAGGGGGAAGGGAAAAGTTTTTTAGTAAACCCTTTTTTTAAAAAAAAAACGTGTTTTATTTTGCTTGTTAAGGAAAAAAAGAAACGTAAAATTTTTGTTTCTTGTTTTGAAAAAAAGCGTGTTTCAGTAAACTTTAAATTTGAGGAAAGAAGCGCGTTTTAGTAAGCTTGTATGAAAGGAGAAAGTTTTTCGAAAGATTAAACACCCTGAAATGTTTTGTTCCAATTAAAAATTAAAATTCGGGCCCTTTTCCCGTAACATCAAGAATACCCCCGAATTCCCCCGTCCCTTTTCACTTTCCCTTTCACTCTGTTTAGGCGAAAAGTTAAACGCAATTTTTATTGGGCTTGAGGGGTTAAAAGGGAATTTGGGGGGCCTGGTAAATTTCCTTCTGGTCAGCCACTTCTGGAATATAGGGGAAAGGAAAAAATCAAACTGATCTTTAACAGTTTTTGCTTTTATTGCTGGATTCTCACTTTCAAATTGGGCCTTTTTTCCCCTTTTTTAAAAAACCGGGGGTACATTGCATAAACTCAGTGTTTTATGCACTAACGGTAAATATTTCAATTTTCTAAAGATCAAGGGAAAAAATTTTATTTTATAATAAATTTAAAAAAAACCACTTTGAAAAAGAAGAGAATTTTCAAAGGGCTTTCGTGATTTTTCCAAAATTATGAAGGAAAATGATAAAGTAGAAAACACCAGGTGGTTTTTGGGTTTTTCCCAAAATTTTTTTCAAGGGGGGTTTTTTTTTTCCTTTCACATATAGCATCAGGGCATTTTCCCTTTCAATGCCCCCAGATAGTAAAAAATCTCAGTTCAGGAACGGGTGGGGACTGAACCCCTGGGCCTTTGTGAGGGCCCCCCAAAACTCCAGGAAAGGATTTGTTTGCAAATTTTGTTAATACGATTTAGTGAGTCATACTTCTTAGTGTATACGCAGTGAGTTCATGCCTTTGATAGAGGTTTCAGAATTCCCAATGCTTCATAGGGATTATAAGTCTTTTGAAACTTCGACATCTCGTTCGTGCTAGCTGGGAGTTAGACCCGCCATGTCAAGCAACTCAGCGAGGGTTTGAAACTCTGTAACTCACTTATACTCCTTCCAAGTTTAACTCTTTTAAGAGGTGTTGTTAAGTCTTTGGCACACTAGAGTGTCGCCTTTCCTCTTATGGTGGTTGGTGAGGCTTAGGCACCACCTGACACGTGTGTTCTGCTGGCCCGCGAACCTATGCAGCAGCTGAAAGCAGTGTTTCTCTCATAAGAGAACCGTAATACCTTTCCTACTGCCTTAGTCTTGTAAGCCAGCAAGAACCTCAAGCCCACTGATTCATTTGCAATATGAAAAGCATGATGTAGTTCACCCAGTTTACTTATTACGTTTTGCATTGCTTAGGTTCACTTGAATTTCTCTTTGCGATTTAAATTCTCTGCTCCCATGTTCTCCCATGTTAGCTAGCCTGCCCCTATTTACTTTTTAATGTCTCTGAGTATACAGTATATTGTAAGACTGTCTCCTGTTTTTCCTCATTTTTTTTAAACTATATTCATATCTCAGTTTAGAGGTGACATCAACTCTGTGAGATTCTTCTGAACTTTTTTAAGCTCTTATTTCCAGGACGTTTTGGAGTTTCCCGGTATAAGGGCATTCGCCAGTCTTCTATCAGGACATTATTGTATATTCAGAGCATCAAAATTTTGATGTCCCCTACGATCACAATACCTCGGGTTACGAACAAGTCAAAACTCGAACAGTTATGTAAGTGTATTTATGTAAGTGCTTTTGTAAGTGTATTTTTGGGGGGATCTGAAACGGATTAATCTAATTTACATTATTCCTTATGCGAACAAATTCGTTCGGTATCGGCACTCGAACAGTCTTCTGGAACGAATTAAGTTCGTATCCCGAGGTACCACTAAATTTGGGAATCTGCTGCATTTCATAAGTCATTTCCTTGATTTTTCTCGAAGCTGATACAAACTATTTTATCCGTTTCTCTGAACCCGAATTTACAGACATGGAGGAGACATGTATAAGCCGAGTGTAAAGGAACCTGAATATTTGAAACGAATTTATGATAATAGAACCTTTCGAAACCCAAGTAGGCGTAAAAACTGTCCCTATTTTAAGAGTAACACTGAAGCTGGATATAGGTAATACCTGCTTCAACGCATCAGTCACAGAAGCGATAGTGGGCAAAAACACATATTCAAATAAACTCAGATTAAATCGTAGTAAACAGAAATCCGGTGGCTAAAGTGGTAGAGCGCTGCGCCTATCAATTTATGGACAACGGTTCACTCTCCCGTCCATCCATAACCGAATAGTTATATTGTCTCCACTCACCTCTAACAGGTTCATAAATAGGGAAAAATTAAGAAAGTGAACGATGTTTCGGTTCGTCCTGGATCAGTCGCTACAAACCGAAGCAGCTTCCATTTTTTTTTCATCTTCGATTTGTGGTCGAATTGTAATTTGCTTAGACTATCAAACTGTGAAATTAAATCTCCACTCACCTTATTATAGACCTGGGCTGAGGAGAGCTCATTCTCTACCACCATGACGATGATGCCCACCATTCCCATGACGAGGGCGTAGTCGGAGATCCTTTTCCGTTTCTCGAAGAGGGCCTTCCGGCGCCCCAGCCGGTAACCCACGTTAGGCTTGTTCCGCAGCTTGAAACTAGCGTTCTTGCAGGCTCCTGCCCCTTGTTTCTCCTCGGTGTACCGTGGGTACTCTGAGTGTACTCCCACGAGTGCTATCCCCGGATCCTCACCCTCTGCAACGCGCCCACCTCCACCGCCTGCGCCCCCCTTCATCGATCCAGGGATGGATAGGGTGGACACAGGCTTGCGTAGCTGGCGGGATAAAAAAAAATGCTACATTAGCTACTGATAAAAATGTAAAGCGTAATTTTCTTCCTGTTAAACAGAAAATTATAAACAGTGACACAAAAACGAAACACATGTAGAACCAAAACAGAGGTCAAGATTAGTGCTGCAGCATAGATACACGAAACAGACCGTGTTTATTACATAACGTTTCGCTCAAAGGTCAGTGAAATGTTGTGCAATATAGACTTTTCTAAAAGTATCTCTATCTTTCCCTGCTTATCGGCAATTTTCAAATAAATAAAATTAATGCAGCATATCTCGGCCAACAACTGAGTCCCTCTTTCAGTAGTAGGTAAAAATATCCAATTCACTTATTTCACTTGAGTTCCACAATATGGGCTCGTCTGTGCTACACTTTTCTTTGAAACAATAACATGTGGAGTAATTTTCTATGCATTAAGCCTCTGAGTTCAACAGGATCACATGAATATTTATAAGGTAACTCATTATTCATTGTTTACTTACCTGCAATAAACTCGAGAGAAAATAACATACCTGAAGCTGTATAACTTTCTTGTTAATGAAGAAAATATTTACATAATGGTAATAGCATTCTGACGATGTATGCTCACGGAGGAGAAACTCCGAGAATTAGATTTCAAAACAGGTACCTGCTAATGCAACAGTGCATTCTGTAAAAGGAAAGATGTGCAGAGAGTAGCGGGTGCAGGGAGAGGCGAGATGCTGGGAAAGGTTATGAATGCATGAGAAGTCGTGAATGCAGGAGAAGTCTTGAATGCAGAAGAGGTTGTGGATACAGTAGAGAGTTGAGGTATGTTCAAGTTCATCACGTTAAATCTATAAATTTGTTTCACAATGGACAAATATAAGTTCGCTCAGTGAGACCGCTGCTGTTTTGCCGAGTTCAAAGGATGCAAACTCAGTGAACAATACAATGGTTTACTGTGGTACTGAGAATGTGCAACTGTGTGAAAAAGTACAGTTGTTTTATTGTGGCACAGAAAGTGCTTTCACTTTGAGAACAGTACAGTTCCTCCACTGTAACACAGAATGTGTGTCTGTGTGAACAATACACATTGAAGTACCCTGCATATATAAATTCCCAGGTGTTAATATTATGATTAAAATAAATCTCATAGTCTCCAAACACTGATAAAAGAGCAACTATCACTAACCCTCATCATCAAATAACAATGGTATATAATCCCGACAGCTTATTAGGCAAAACACATGTGAAACAGGTATCTATATTTCTGTTTCTACCAACTTTTCTGTACTCGACTGAAGCCCACTATATAGGTGAAACGTTTCGAAATAGAGGTACCTAACTGTTGTATATGTTTTACCAAACATCAAATAACAACTCTAGGCTCCAACATATCAATTAAAAGACTTCTGTAATCGCCAGCATAACGATGAACAGGCAGCTATATTCTCCAACACCCCATCAAAATGATAACATAATCTCCATCAAACCAATTACAAGGTAGTTTCCAGACTTACACAATGCTTTCAATAGGCTGTAACCAGTTACCAGAGAGACTGTAATCACGACTACCCACTGTAAGTTGTACTATCGTACATTATATATCCAACTATTTTAACATATTTTAAGAATTTCCCAAATCAACTAGCCGTAAATTTAAGCTAATTAAAGCCTACGAAATGAGTTGGATCAGTAACTAAAGAATAAGTAGTACAAGAGTCGGGTTTTATTTTTTAATAAATGCTGTTACGGATGTCACAAAGGCACTATATCATGCACGAGTGACCTTTGTGGACGACCACCGGATATACAGAAATACTGCCGATGGACTGTGAAGGCAAACACCACACACGTGCAAGTTTTTATTGCAGAATAAAAAAAAGTTATATCGGGAATTCAGGTTTCGCTCGGGGGACTCGATAACGTTTTGTCCGGGGATCTTTGATAACGTTACGCTCAGAAACTAACATCGCGTTTCACTCGGGACTTCGGTAACGTTTCGCAAGGTACTTGTTTGCTAATGCTATTAATTAAAACGCAAATAACAGTTATAAATACTGTTAATAATAATTATAATCATAATTATTTATATTTATATATTTAATAATTATTGCTATTTTTATTATATCAGACAACGCCTGTACCCGGAGGGCTCTTCACCGGTACATAAAAATCCTTAGGAAATTTACCTTATTAAGCATTTATAGTTAAATCATAATTCACAGAGAACAACAAAACTTTCGGCAAAACCCCTTATTGTCTTATGAATTATACATCAGTCACTCTTACAGGTATCTAATATAACGAAGACTTTTTTTTTTTTTTTTAACCCGGAGGAGGTTTAGCCTCCCAGGAAAGCCTCGGTGTGTCATTGAGGACTGTTTGATTTATTTGTCGTCCCCCAGGATGCGGCCCCACACCAGTCGTCTAGCACCCAGGTACCTACTTACAGCGGGTGTAAGGAGACAATCCCAGTCTTTCCACCAGGCCTGGAATCGAACCACGGACACTCAGTGTGTGAGGCGAGAACGTTGCCTACCAGGGCACCTTTATCAACATTTATCTTAATAAATTTTTACATCCATCAGCCTTTACATCAATCAGTCTACGAGTATAAACCCATCAATATTTCCATTCTTTAATTTGTACGTTAATCAAATGACAACCGCCTTCAGTTCTTTACTATAAACCCTCTTAAAAAAAATTCTTACTCTTCTCAAGCATAAATTCTATCCTTTAATGTCCCTTCAATTTGCCCTCTCTATCCTATTTCTTATTTGCAACCGTCAACAGGGAACGTTCTTCTTTCCTCACAGAAAAAACGTTCATCCTCTTGTTGCAACATTGTCTATCCATTTACGAAAAGATTACCTTCCTTTTAGACTAAATAGTGTTTTTTCTCACGAACATAGTGTCTTTTGGCTTACATAGGGTTCTGGCGGACATACGACCCTTGGAAGATGTATGTGTAATATATTCGCCTCAGATGTCATGGGTGGACGACTGTGCGGGAGGTCGTTGACAAGTTTACGCTCCATTTGTAGTCGCGGTCAGTCCTTGACAAGCTTGAATCACAAGTTTGTTGTTGGTGTTATTGCTATTGTTGTTGTTGTATTCTAGTTGGTGATGATGCTATTGTTGGTGATGTTATTGTTCTTGTTTGTTGTTGTTGCTCATGATATTGTTTCTTCTACTTTTGTTGTCATATTCGATACAGTTTTTTTCTATATTATTACCAACACACTTAAGTTTTCACCAGAACACTAATGTTACTAGCATAACATCAAAATTACTAGCATAACTTCAGAGTTACTAACAGAACAACCAAAGTTACTAGCAGAACACTAAAGTTACTTTCTGAACACTGTAGTTACTACCAGAAAATGTAAGTTATAACCACATGGTTAAAGTCAGAGCCAAAGCATTGTAGCTACTGTTAAGACAATCAAGTTATTACCAAGACAAACTAATACTATGATATTGAAGTTAATATCAGGACAATGAAGTTAATACCAGGACACTCTGGCATAAAGCTCTACTAACTTCAGCTCTCTTGACCTCTGTTTCATTAACCTTTGACCTTCTGGTCTCAGACCAGAGGAGCCGCTTACGAGGTCATGGCCTTTCTACCTTCCCAGATTGTTAGTGCAAACAAGAGACAATATCCTCTTACTTTGTGCGTGTGCGTATTCTTGTGTGTGTGTGTGTGTGTGTGTGTGTGTGTGTGTGCGCGCTAACCTCTGTGTGGTTGCAGAGGTCGAGTCACAGCTCCTGGTACCTGCGTGCGATCCCCAAGTTCTTCAATTTCATTATAGACCACCACTCAAATATTGTTAGGAATTTTTTAATAATTTTTTTTAATAGGCGCTTAAATATATATCTTTTTTTTTTTAGGAGGTGGGAATGGGATTGCCGAACCACTAGGCAGGTTATCGTTAAACCTATTCACTCGGTTTCACGAGAATTTCATGTATTTCTGCTCGCTCGAAAAATACCGGAAATTTAAAAAAAAATATGAATTTAGGCTAGATTAGCTTAGGTTAGATTAGATGGGGTAAGGTTAACCTATATTACCGTATATCAGCATATAATTACCCGATAATGACGAAATTAAACATAAAAAGTTATATCTGTAGCTCGTTCTTGGACGTTTCTTGATTTCCATCAATAACCGTTGCCAGACGTATCTTTTCCAGCATTTCTAATTCGCTTATTTGTGGTTAAATATTCAGACTTATTTAACCTACGCTAGCCCAACGTAACCTAACTTAAATTAACTTGATCTGATTAAAAATATTTTACTTCGACCGAAGTAAAATAATGGGTTGGTATCTGGCAACGGGGAGAATGGGGAGAGGGAAGGGGGGAAATGGGGGTACGTATCGTTCCATTTCGAGCGTGCATGATCTGACGAAATTAATACCAATGTCATGGTATTAATTTCAGTGTCATGGTATTAACTTCAAACTTCTGTTATTAATTTTAATGTTCTTGCAATGACTTAGATGTCCTGGTAACTATGTTGATATTCAGATAATAACTTTAATACTGTAGCAATAACTTGATTGTCTTAAAAGTAACTACAATGCTTTGGTACTGATTTTAACCACATGATTATAACTTACATTTTCTGGTACTAATTACAGTGTCCAGAAAGTAACTTTAGTGTTCTGCTAGTAGGATATGTTGGGGGAAGAGAAAAGAGACGGAAGGAGGGGCGCAAGAGAGTAATATCGAATTTGACTGAAAAAAAAAAAATTATATACTCTGTGAAGCGCTAAAGCAATAAGGGTCGTGTCAGAAGGAATCATTTTATGAAGGGAGGACCCAGGTAGCCGGACTTGAGTCCTAGAAGTGGGAAGTACAGTGTCTGCTGTCGGAAGGAGGGGTGAGGGTTTTGCAGTACCCTCTGTCATCTGAACTGTGATGTCGGCACACTTCTGGTGTGATAGTGGTTAAATGAATGTTGGTGAATGTGTATCCTCTATTATCTGAAAGGGAGGGGTAGATCTCC